AAACAGCGGAATGCTTTATTGATCACGTAAATTTAGTACGAAATACATTTAACAGAGCGGTTGAAAAGGTACAATGTGGTAGTAGAAAAGGATACTTAAACAAAGAAATTTATAATTTACTTAAATTCAGAGATGTCAAACTATTACCATGCTTACATTACGTACCATACATGAACTAAATGGTATCGCTGAAAGATAAAACAGATCGATAATGGATACGGGTAGGTTTTTGATAAAATAAGCAAATATAAATTTAAAATTTGGGCCCGAAGTAATAAAAACAGTAGTTTATTTAAAAAATTGAACAACACCACACACAATTGAAAATAAATTACCGCATTAAATATTTTTTGGTCTTAAGCCTAACATAAAATGTTTCAAAACTCATGGAAGTAGGGTATTTGTAAATAAACGAGAGGTTAAAAGAAAAAATAAAGAGGACGATATAGCCGAGTTCAGAACATTACTTGGTTATGCTAAGTATGATTATAAAGTACTTGTTAACAATAAAGTTGTAGTAGCTTGATACGTTAAAGTAATAGAAAATTAAATTAAAGTAATTTTCTTGAGAGATAAATTAGAACCAGGATCTGATTCATCAAGCAAAAGATAATTTGATTGTGAAAAAACGGAATTATTAAAAACGATGAGTATGAACTAGTGATGAGGAAAAACTTATTAAAAATATGGGAATCCAGTTACACATGTGATATACGTTAAATACATTTATGTGAATTTACCAAATACATTTGAGGAGGCGCTATGTTTGAAAGAAAGCAAAAAATTTTAAAAATAAAACGTGGGATGTTATTAAAAAGCCAAAAAATTAAGAAATTTTCGATGTGACACAGATATTTTAAAAGGAAGATTAATATATTCAAAGCGAGACTAGTAGTAATAGGTTTTCAGAAACTGAGTTTTTAGAAAAATGTTTATTCGCTTGTAAATAAAATGCAAACTTAAAAATATTGTTATTTAATTGTTGTCAAAATAATTTATTTATCAAACAAGTGGGTGTAGAAACAGCGTTGTGAGATAGCCAAATAAAATCATGAATATACATTAATCTGCAAAAGGGCTATAAAATTGGTGAAGATGAAGTTTGTTAACCAAAGAGAGCACTATATGAATTAAAAGAAAGTCCAAAAATTTAGTAAAATATATTTCATGAGTTTGTAAGCAATCCAAATTTCATTGGAAGTATTTACGATTTCGGTTTGTATTTTGTATGAAAATAATAATAATTTAAGTCCAGTGTATAATTTGATTTTTGTTAGTGATTTCTTAAAATACAGTAAAAATTTAAATAGAATGAAATAAATCAAATTGAAATTAAAAAAAAGTTTTTTTAATAAAAGTTATAGTTACAGTTAAAAATTGTATTGTAATTGAAATTCATTTAAAAAAAAAAAAAACACACACACACACACACACTCCCACAAAGAGGTTGAGTCAACAAAAGTATTTAGAGTCGCTAGCGATATAATATAATGTTGAAAATGTAAGATCATATGATACTCCTATAGAATCAAATTTTTTAAATTAAAAAATCTTATAGATGGAAAAATACATAAAGTATATAAATTTAATTAGAGAACAGTAAGTGCAGGCGCGAAACCAGATGTAACATACTGTGTAAATTATCTTAATAGATTTCATAATTTTTATACCGTAACTTACTATGAAAATGCAATGAGAGTGTTGAAGTATTTAGTCAAGGCAAAAGGTACAAAATTGATTTATGAAAGCAATAAGAAAAGTAAATTATGGAACTGTATCGTACAATGTGGAATAACTGTATCGTAGATTTGGAGTGTTCTGATAATAATTTGAATGAAAAATTAACAATAATGTATAACATGCACATTCAATGTTCTTTTATTATTTATACATTAAATTATTTAAAGAGACAGAATATATTGTCAGAAAAATATTAATAGAATTTAAAATTTAAAATCATGTACGTGCAGAAACGTTTAAATACATACATACAATGGTAAAAATACTTATTCAACCTCATTTTCTGTTCTTTATTTTTTTTCCAAGCTTTTCTAAAAAATTATTAATATCAGCTACTTGAGAATTAGTTGTTTACTTTTCTTTCCTGTTTGCATTATCATTTGGATAATACCTTGTTTAAAAATAAACTTTTGATAACAAATAAAAATTTCTGAATTACAGTTTTGTTTAAATCAAAAATAACGTCCATGCAATGTATAACATTTACCATTGTTGATTTGCTACTTGCAAACTGACAAAAAAGTCCACTACATCATATTTTCTGTTAAGTGTTTCTAATGAAGCTCTTTGAATCAGTAGCAAGTAAATTATTTGAAAATACTTCTTATTCAGATTAACGTACATTTGATGAAGACATAACAATATTTCATTCATTTTTTCTGCTATGTATAAAAGCTGAATTGTCAGGAATGAAAAGTAGCACGCAATTATTATTAAAATATTGCTAATAAGTTAATACTATTCCATTGTTTTCTTCAAAGTTCTCTATGAAAAATTTGTAATTATTGTAATATACATGAATAACTATAATAAATGTTCTTTTTTTCATTTAGAAAAATTAATAAAATACGTAATTGTATGAAAACGTACGGAAAAATATTTTCGTACAAAGTATAAAGACTAGCCATTTATAGAAAAAACTTTTTATGAATCAATCAAAACTCTCAGCTGTCATGTAGCCTTTAGCAGTGTGTCCAACACTTTATTTTTCAGGTATCTGAGTCAAAAAACTGAGGAGTGTTTTTCAAATCAAATAAAAGCGTAGGTAAAAGTTAATTTCCAGCTATATTTGCTATGAATAACGCAGTTCGACAAGCTCTCTAGTTACTGTTTACAATTTAGTAAACAGATTTGGTCCCTCTTTTTGCAATCACTGTATTATTTTTTGAACCGAGCATAAATAAAGTGTTATCTCAATTGTAAATACGTTGACAATTAATATTCAGAAGACTGTTTTGTTGAAAGTAATGTTCTAATTCATAAAACCAGATTTTGAGCAATTCTCACACTTAAGTTCTTATGTCTCCTCACAAAAGTAGAGTAAGACCATTAACCTGGTCTGTTAGTTTAGAATAAATTTTTTCTATCCACTTAAGTTAAAAAATTTTGAACCTGGTCCATACTTAGATCTCTCATCACTAGAAAGCCTTGTTCAGTATAAGCAGTAATCCATTCAATGATTTCTAATTTCTCGTGCTTGGTGAGAACTGATGATGGACCTTTGTTACACGCAATAGGAGAACATTTTCTTAGTGTAGCGTGGAGGGTAATTTTGAGCAATATATACCTAGTCGCAGCCTTCATCCTGGTGTAACCCTGCTCAACTGCATTCAAATCTGTTGTCACTACTTCCACAAAATAAGGTCATTCAGATAATTTTCTTTTTATTTTTGATTTCGCAGTTGTAAATGAGATTTTACTGTTAAATTTCTTTTTTTCACTAGTAGTCTTTTAAGGTTAATTTTTTGCCATCCTAAAAAATTTTTAGCATTTGTTAAACTAAAAGATTCGAATATTCATAGATTAAGTATTTATGAGATAAGTAGTTAAGAGCAAGAAATATATGAAATGTAAAAATACTTACATGTAGAATAACAAACTTTTTAGGTTATTTAACTAGTGCATCAGCTGCTGTACTTATTTCAGTGATTACGTCATTAAAGAAATCGAAAAAGTTACATACACAGTGCAATCGTATCATAAAATGTTTAAAGTATTTTAATGTACACTATCAAAGAGAATTGTTTATCGTCAAGCAAAAAATAAAATAGTACAATTTATTTTCTTTGTTCTGCTACTACGGGGACTTAGGCTATTCTTGGTGTAGTAATGGTAAACACTTGTTAAAACAATAATATATGTCTAACGCGAACAATAAACATTCTTAAACTAGTTTTTTAATATTGAAAAATATAATTATGTACATTTCAAGGCTTATTACTTGACCTCACAAGATATTTTTAAGTAAAAATAAAGTAGTTACAATGGATATTTTTACTCTACGGCTAGAGCAAATTAGTCTGGAGCGTGGGGCTTTTGTGGTGTGGACTAATTGAATCACTTATCATGATAAAGAATGTAGTCTTGCCTTTTTTTCTCGTGACAAATCAAATTTAATTGTGAACAAAAAACAATAACAAACAATAAGTTAAGTTTTTAGACATTTTTGATTATATACAATCACAAACATGTTTTTTATTGCATTCGTCTCAGCTATAGTTAAAATTTGTAAAATGTACAACGAATTTGAATTTTTTTATAATTTCATTAAATAGTGTATTTTTCAACACTGCCCCCTTTTCCCCTGAAAAATTTAAATTTTACAACAAAGTAATCAACGTAAAAATTGTAGAACTCATTAGAACAAAACGTTATTACTTCGTAAGTTTTTCTTCATTCTGCCATTGTAACACTCTAAGTGGTAATAGTTGTTTTAAAATGTTTCCAAGTTTGTTTTATAGCATCTAACATTTTGTACTGCACTTGTAGAAAGAACAAAAATATTTTTTTTTACAACGATTATTTTTGTCTATATTGTCATCCTAACAATGAAAACCAATGAACTATATCAAAATAGCAGAAAAATCGTTTTAAAGCATGTTACTTTGTTACATATCCTTTGCAAACAAAATGTTTCTTACAGAACTCGTAAGTCTTATTAAAATACATTTTTGTTTGTTTGTCATTTTCATCTACAGGGTAGCATTAACAAATAAAATAACAAAAATTATTTAAAATATGGTCCAAGAATTGTTTTGTAGTATATTATTTTCTTATTCAAATTTTACTGCAGAAATATGAATATTGAACTTGTTTGAGTCCTATAATTTATTCCATATATTTTGCTCTGGTAATCAAAATAGTAATGTAGTTTTTGTACTGCCCTCTACTTTTATGGAGGACAATGGGCCTACACTATCATTATATTTTTGTACCACACAACGATTGGTGAAATATAACTTAAGAATATCTATTTTTAGAAATCCGAGAAATAAACTTGGAACACCTTTATGAATCCAACATGATCTCTAACGTAAAAGAAGTAACAGATCTAAATAGTAAAGAAAATGAATTTTCCTTTTTGGATGAGCTTGTACGAGGTGTACTACTAGCTGGGATGGATCAAGTATTAAAGCATAGAAACTTTGAATTTAGGAAAGGCCGTTTAACCAAATCTGGCTCATCGTTGGTTACTGAGTAAGTAAAATATTACATTAAAATTATTAACTTAGAAAAACTTATCGTTAGAAAAAATCTTACAAAAAAAGTATTCAATTCAAGTCGTAAGTAACCAATTATGTTTATCCTGAAATTGTAAAAACCAATCATTAAAAAATTAGTTTTTAAAATGTACGAATATTACTCATTGTTATGCATGAAGTGCATGCTCAATTATTACAGAGATAATATAATTGGTGGACAGTGTTCATTGTAATTATTTTTAATTTTTTCATTTTAATGATTAACACTTGTACGTAGTTGTAAGATTCATATCAAGAAATTATCTCAGATAAAAAAAAGAGGTACGAAAATAGAATGATTACCACACGTCATCTACCCAACCGTACTCATTATTTTAAGACTACTAGCTATTTCGATAAATTAACTGCATCAAGTAGTAGCCCCGTTATAGTAAAACTCTGACGACACCATTATCGGCCAAGATAATAAGATGTTGCCTTTTCTCTACGGAGATTGACTGCGAGTTGGATTTTACTTACCAAAACAAACAGTTATGTGCAGACCATCCTGGGAGATAATTCAATATTTTAAGTATTTTTTTGCCAAATGAACTTCGTACAAAAGTCTTAAACAAGTTTTCGACAAAAATCGTACCTAAAGTCTCGAATCTATCAAGCTAGAAATATAGCGTGATAATCATAATATCAATGTCTTTTTATTACCAAGTGCATCTTGATATATCGGTATATTACCCCTTTTACTCTTCACGCATCGTCTGCTTTACTGTTTATTTTTATATTTTATGTACGTCGACAGATAGACATAATTTAAATGTATTATATGTTTCTTTTGGTTCTATATTTTGATTACTCTTTATAAGAAAATTTGGGGAAGGAATCGATATTTCTGTCTTATTTGTTTTTAAAATAAAAATTTTTTAAATAGAATCTTCTACCCTATGAACGAAGCAACATTAAAAAAAAAAATATTTTTTACTTTCTGAGTTTTTTCTGTTAAAAAATAAAATTTTTACTGTCTTAAAAATTAAAACGTTTTTTTTTTTTGGAGTAAATCAATACATAGTTTGGTATTGAACATTTTGATAGACAAATTCCTGAAAATAATCAATGAAATACTTTATTGTTTATGTTGCAGAGATGATGCTAAGGCTCAATTAACTACAGAATGTGTAAATCACAAAAGAAAATTCTGGCCTAGCCCATATCTTACATATTTTCAGAAGACACACAATGAAGAACGAAGAACGACATTAATACGTGAAAGTAGTATGATTTCACCAGTAACAGTGCTGCTATTTAGCCAAGGAAAAGTTATTGGGAGAAAGGTAATGATAAATATAAACATTACTTATTCCATAACTAGAAATTAAATTCAAAACAGAAATTGAGACGCGATTCATTGATATTTTGTCCAAACTGACCTAGATTGATTAAGAGTCTAGATCAAGAAAATCCAAGGTAAAACCGAAAAATCAAATGTTAGATCACAAGGCGTGATCTATGAGTTTTTGTTTTTCTTTATTATTTTGCAATGAATGTTGCACAAATTAAGCTTTATTTATTCTTTGGAAATTAAAAAACCGGTAGAGCAACTCTTTGTCTGTTATGTAAATGTTAAAATATTATGGTAAAAAAATGATCGTTATAATAATTGTGGACTGATCTAAACAGCTATGGATTCCTAAGATAAAGAAAACTAATTTAGCCAAAATGAATTGTTATATTGTATGTCCGTTAAATCATGTTATAAGTGTCAGTAACTTTTTTCAGTATCAATTTGCAAACAAGAAGGAGGATTTTTCACCTCGGATTTTCATCTATTCTCACTAAGTTTCAATTTGATTTATTCTTAAAAATGTCAAGGATTCTTGGTCAACTTTATTTTCTTATGATATAGCTATTATTTAATAAATGATGCCGTAAAACTGTAAAATACTATCTACTTTATTAGTTCGTTAGACAAATTATTTCTAGACTCCGCTTAAGGTGGCTTTCTTGCTTAGTAATCGCTGTATAGTGATATGTTACATTAACCTTACTGGTACTAGTACAGTTGTTGATAAGTTATCACTAAACTGACATTTATTTTCACCCAACATTCAATAAGCGTCTCTTTTTATTCAGAAGAAAGTATAATCTTCAAATAATTTTCATACGAAAATCGTTACTTTCCATAATTTACGCTTGTTAAAAACTTTACAACCTCAAAACTTTCATTTTGTTTCATTGTATCCTGGGTCTTAAATACAACAGAAAATATTTGCAGTACGAATGTTTTCAGAAAAAAATTTTCAAACGATGTAGTGGAACTATACTGAACCACCATGTAGATCTTTAGTGTTATTTCTTTACATTATTTATAACGACTTTTGAATCAATGTGACAATTTCAGGATTCCAATTTATGTAAATAGGAATCATTTGAATTTCATAGGCTATTGTTTTATTGCTTTTTTTAAGCTCACTTTTCTAATTTAGCTTTCTCAATCAAAGCAAGTAGTGACAATCTCAGCATACAAGTATTTATCTTCGGCAAACTTTTACGTCTTATTTCTCAGATTACTACAAAGGGAGATAGTGAAAATTCCATTTCCTAGTAATTAAACAAAGATTTATAATGCTCTAAGTCGATTGTAATAGGACTACCCATGATTTGACGACTTTATTAAGAAGTTAAAAGTAGAAGTACAGATAAATTTTAGTCAAGATTTACATAACGATGATTTTGCTAAATTACGATGAAAAATATTTTGTACTAACTTTTTTAAGAAGTAATGAATCAACACCAAACCATTAATTTCTAGTATTTAAAAACCCTTAACAAACTAAATTGTAAATTAAACGAGTGATGTTTCAAACATTAGGATATTAGTGCAGTCTGTCTATTTTCAGCCCCATGTTAAATTTTCACATCAGAGATACAGTAAACAAAAATATGTAAAAATCAGAAATTTCCCGTAGAATTCGAAAAACTAAAATACGAACAACTGGTGCACAGAAATTCCACAGCAAATGGGGCCCGAAGTGTGGCAAATACGGTTATTTTCACTTTACTCTCTCCAGGCTCGTAAAATAATTTAAAAAAATATTTGAACAAAGTTGTGGAACTATCGATTACGGATTGATCTGTGTAAATCTGATGTTAATAAATTAAAAAATAAATTTATAGTTCGCCTAAAACTGAAAAAAACAAAAGCGTTTTTGTAAAAAGCCCATGTCTATGCTCAAAAAACCTTTTTTTTACGAAAATTGTGAAAAGTGTAGCTCTAACCTCACTTAAAAACCACATTTTGGAGGAAATTAAAAATCTTTAAATTAGAAAAAAAAATTTAATTTTTTGAAGAAATCGTATTTTTTTCAAAAGCTTTATTTCTTGAGTGTTATGATGTGTTTCAAAAAAATAGTTCGAATAAAATTTTAAAGAAACGTCAGGTAGATAACAATTGTTAAGCATTGCTTTTTTGGTGAAAATATATATTTATTTGACATATTACTTATAAAAAATTTGTGGTTAATTGACAAGTCAACGATACTTAATTGAGACGCAGTTTTTTGATTGCAGGCCACTCCCTCCCCCCCCCCATTGATAATGCGGTCTTCGCTGTACAAAACGATTAAGGAAGCGTCGGCTTCGCTTTCTATCTGATCGTTATCATCATTCTCATTATCATCATCATCATCATGATCATCATCATTATCTCGTCGTCATCATCATCACTATGGTCATCATCATCATCATCATCATCATCATTATCATCATCATCATCATCATCATCATCATCATCATCATCATCATCATCATCATCATCATCATCATCATCATCATCATCATCATCATCATTATTTTTATCATAATCAGTATCATCATCAATATTATTTTTATTTTTATTATGATCGTTATTATTATCATCATTATCACCATCATCGTCATCGTCATCATCACCATTATCATCTACATTGGTCTGTGATTCATTCATCACCGCACAAGACTTGTTCAGTACTTCTTCGTCCAAGTTGTCACAAAAAGCATCAGCCACCATTCAATTATTTCAAAATTTGAACAATTTTCCTGATCGCACGTCAAGCACTTCAGACCGTGTTTCTTGTAGCTACAGGTCTTTAACTTACACCCGATTCTACATCTGCAGACTACAGTTTTTAAAATATCGTCAAGTAGTAGCTGATCTGCGCTTTTTTTGGCAGTTAGTACCATCAAAAGTTTAACTCCATTGCTCTGGCTCGAGCGAATTTCCAAGCCACGTTTGCAACTGCAAATACAAGCGGTATGCATGGTGTACCGATGTCCCTCATTCGGTGACAGGGTGGCCAAATCGAAGGACGATCTTGATGCCGATTCTTTGAATTTTTGGTAACGTACATTATTTAAGGTACCTTTTGTACAATACAAGCACGCTAAAATCTCGCATTCGACGCTTGCAATTACTTGATGTCGTGAATATTTATTTTAGAAAGAATCGAAGTTTGGCAACAGTACTTTTTTGTTGTCAAATATTTTAGAAATTTTATTTTTCCCTGGCTTAAACAAACAAAAAGTTATGTCACAGCTGGTGATTATGTACAGCAAATCAATATACTTTTTTTAGCTTCGATATCTCAAGCAATTACTGTTGTCCACTGTTTGCGTCTCTTTACCCAGAAGTATATCTTATTATTATCGGGTGCAAGCTGTGTTAATCAGATAAATAGATCTGTGTCTTCGATATGTATTTTTACAACATTGTCATTTCTTTACGGATCTATTTCTGCCTTTATTATTACACTATCAGCATCTTCCGTAGAAGTTTTTTTTGAGAACTTATGTTTCTGTCATTCGACGCTTCAAAAAAGAATGAATTTTTTTTTATTGTTCTAACTTGACAGAAATTTATTTTTTTGACATACTATCGTGGTATTCAAATCAAACTAAATTTCTACTGTGGGTTAGTCTCATGCAGAAGACGTATTTGTTTAAATATGACGAATAAAGTACCCACAATTAATAGTAAAACAAAAATAAAAGTAATCGTATCAGCAAAAAACAGTATTACAACGTACCTTTATTTAATTGAAACACAATAATTAAGTCAAAACACTAACGGCTTACTGACCATGTGCTCTTCAGACTGTGTACATAATTGAAAAAAAAAAGCAGAAGCAAAAAGTTGAGTTGGCGAGGATCCCGACGCATCTTATCTCCCCCCCCCCCCCC